ATTTTGGGAAATGTGGGGTGGAAATTTTGGGAAATATTGAAATATTGGGAATTATCAAAATAAAATGAAATACGRGTTGACATTTTGGGAAAAATGGGTTGGAATTTTGGGAAAAATTGAAATATTGGGAAACACTGGCTGGAATTTTAGGAAGTTTTGGGAAATCTGGGTTGAGATTTTGGGAAATATTGGGAAATCTGAGGAAAAATGGGTTGGAATTTTGGGAAATGTGGGAATTTGGATGCAAATAGAGGTTGAAATTTTGGGAAATACGGGTGGAAATTTTGGGAAATATGGGCTGGAATTTTGGGAAATATGGAAAATTTGATGAAAATATGGGTTGGAATTTTGGGAAATATTGGAATTTTGGGAAAATGGGTTGGAATTTTGGGAAATATTGAAATATCCGGAAAAACGGGTTGGAATTTTGGGAAATRYGGGTTGAAATMWTGSGAAATATTGAAATATCAGGAAATACTGGTTGGAATTTTGGGAAAAATGGGTTGGAATTTTATGAAATATTGAAATTTCRGGRAATAGGGKTTGGAWTTTTRKGAAATGTGGGAATTGCTGCTCACGTGTGGCGCTGGCAGAGGGAATCGATGCAGATCAGAACCCGAACAGTGCCCCGGGAACGCAGAGCGGATCTGTTCTTCAGCTCACTGGGATCTGGGAAAAATGGGGAAAAATGGGGAAAAACAGAGGAAAATGACGGGAAAAATGGGGAAAAATGGGAAAAATGACAGGAAAAATGGGGAAAATGACAGGAAAAATGGGGAAAATGACAGGAAAAATGGGGAAAATGACAGGAAAAATGGGGAAAATGGCAGGAAAGTGGGGAAAATTACAGGAAAATGGGGAAATGGCAGCAGAAATGGGCAAAAAACAGGGAAAAGGTCAGGAAAATGGGAAAAATGATGGGAAAATGGGAAAACGGCAGCAGAAATGTGGAAATGTGAGGAGAAATGGGGAAAATGACAGGAAAATGGGAAAACAGCAGCAGAAATGGGGAAATAATGGGGAAAAATACAGGAAAATAGGAAAAATTACAGGAAAAATGGGAAGAAAATGGGAAAAATATGAGCAGAAATGAGGAAAATGACAGGAGAAATGGGGAAAAGTCAGGAAAATGGGAAAATGACAGGAAAATGGGAAAAATGTGAGCAGAAATGGGAAAAATGTCAGAACAAATGGGAAAAGTGACAGGAAAAATGAGGAAGATGTCACAGAAATGGGAAAATCCCGGGAATGGTGGGATTTGGGATTTTAGGATGCCGTGGGCAGCTCTCACTCACCCAGGTGGACGTTGGCCATGAACTGGTAAATGCCACCCACGGGCGCCGTGAACCGGCCCGAGAGCAAATCCAGCCCCGAACCCCGCAAAAAGGAACCCTGGGGGGGAAAACGGGAATGGGAACAGCCCAAAATCACCAAAATCAACAAATTCACCCAAATCCAGCCCGGAACCCCGCAGGAATGAACCCTGGGGGGGAAAATGGGAATGGGAACAGCCTAAAAATCACCCAAACCCCCCAAAAAGGAACCCTGGGGGGAGAAACAGGAATGGGAACAGCCCAAAATCCCAAAAATCACCAAAATCACCCAAATCCAGCCCGGAACCCCTCAAAAAGGAACCCTGGGGAGAGAAACGGGATGGGAACAGCCCAAAATCCCAAAAATCACCCAAATCCCATCCCAAAATACCAAAATTCACCCAAATCCCATCCCAAAATTCCAAAATTCACCCAAATCCCATCCCAAAATCCCCCAAATCACCCAAATTTATCCAAATCCAGCCCTGAACCCCGCAAAAAGGGACCCTGGGGGAGAGAGAAGGGATGGGAACAGCCCAAAATCCCAAAAATCACCCAAATCCCAAAATCCCAGAATCCCAAAATCCCAAAATTCACCCCAATCCCATCCCAATATCCCAGAATTTATCCATGGCCAGATCCAGTCCCAATCCCAGCGTCCCAAAATAGATCCAGATCCAACCCCGATCCCTGCAAGAATTCTGGGATCCCTCGAGAAATCTGGAATTTGGGAATTGTGGATTCGGGAATTCAGGAATCCCTCAGGAATTTGGGAATTCCGGAATTCAGGAATTCCAGCCTCTCTCACCCTCTGGAAGTTGCTCAGCTCCGTCCGCGTTTTCTTCTCCACCAGAACGGAACCCCTGAGGCGACAGTGGAACCCCAGAACCAGGCGGGGAGGGGACAATGGGGACAGTTCTGGGGACATTGGGGACAATGGGGACTGATCTGGGGACAGCGGAGACTGAGGGGACA